AACAATTGCCTTGAAAACTGCAAGGACTCGTCCAAGCAGTCACTGCAGAGTCGGTAACGACTGAGCGCAGATAAAAAAAAAAAAATATTTAACATTTAAAAGTTTCAGAGTTTACCAGCCATTGTGTTCTTATTGAGTACTGAGAGCTGAGGATAAGATAACAGAGGCTGAGAGATAAGGTCTTGCATGTAAATTTTTCCTGGGACAGGAAGAATGGGGGATGATGACGTTACCTGCAATAGGTAGTAACTAACTGTTTGATCTGTTTGACAGACCAGTCCCAAAGCATTTGCACACCCCAGGCAACAATGGTCGCTATAGCACTATCCAGTGTCGCATTTCCCACTCAGCTCTGACTTCTTTGCTGCGTGACTGGAGTAGCTTTGTGCTGGTAGAAGGCTACTCTTATGTCAAGCTCATGCACAGGTGAGAGAATTAAGGTACAGAGGGGGGAAACTGTTGAGTCTGAGCTGTTGAAGTCCATGAAGGTGTAAAGTCCAATGAGGATAAAGGATTATTGCATAAGATTGAACCTGGGTTTTTTTTCCCCCTCTTAAGTAGTCAATCCAGTCGTGCTGAGTAAATAACTCTTAAGGGGAAAGGCTCATTAAATACTTCATATTTGTTCATTAGTACATAGCATCTGAAACAATATACAAGAGCTGTTTTTGCAAGGCTCCTGTAGGCTTAGATGGTTCTGCAGGTAGGCCTTTGTTCGTAGGGCAATTCCAATTCCTTCCTGTACACCTTACATTTTTTACTTTGAAATGGTAAAGTACCAACTCTAGAACTGAGATTTTTGATACCTGTCTTGAGACTCAGTACCACCATAAATCTATTCAAATTTGCTGTTTCTTTCTCATTCTGTAGCTCTGAGGATCTGCCTCCTTTTTCATTTTATGTGGTGAGGATTATTTCCAAAGCCCCCTGCATGGTTCTTCGGCTGGGATTCCCCATTGGGACACTTGCAAAACTCAGGAATAAAGTAAGTGCTGGATAAGTTTTCTTGAGTCACAGTGAACATTGATTAAAATTGCAAAAAACACAAAGCAAAAATTTGCTTGGTGGATATTTGTCACTTGGAATAAAGTTTTAGGATTACTAAGAAGCATGTTTTGCATCCATATTTTTAGGTTGCATATAAAAACATTGGGCTTACATAAGAAGCTTTGCTTCCAGACCTAAATAGCAGTGGAATCAGTACCTAAAGGTGGCTGGATAAGTCACCTTCCCAGTGATAAGATTTTACGAAGCAAGTCATTTCTAACTAGAATATGTTAGGAAGAGATAGGACTTGGCCTCTTAGGACAGTTTTGAGGTAAACCAGTTCTATGTGGCACTGATGAACTTTATTAATAAAACATTTAAGGCATTGTTGTTGGCAAGAGCAGGGTAGCTCCTCTGTGGGGATTCTGGGACTGAATGTGGCTACCTTATTTTTATTATTTAAATTTATTTTCAATACATGCATACTTTTGCCAGGGTAGATTACAACACCCAAACTACAATTTAACTTTTTAAAATAAAAATGATTTAAAGTTCATAACATAATGAAAGCCTAAACCAGTGTTTCTGAACCTTGGCAACTTTAAGATGTGTGGACTTCAACTCCCAGAATTCCCCAGCCAGCATGTACAGGCAGTCCCTGGGTTAAGAACGCCTAGTTTACAGACAACCCATAATTAAGAACAATGCCTATTGTAGCAAAATTTGAGTTAAATACACAGTGATTCAGGTTAAATACACAATGGTTCAAGTTCGTTACACACTACTACTTATACAGTATTGTACAATAATACTGTTCCAGCTTACATACAAATTCGACTTAAAGACAGAGCTTGGGAATGGAACTTGTTCTTAAACTGGGGACTACCTGTATTACAAAAATTAAACTAATAACATGAATACATTAAAATATGTGGGAAAATGTTGGAATGTACAACAGCATGTGCTACAGAGGAGTTTGGGGTCTGCAACAGTATGTATGTATGTATGTATTTATTTATGCAATTTCTATAGCTGCCCATCTCAGTCCAAGTGAGCAGTGCTAACTTCTTATATAAAAAGGATTTCTTCCTATCTACTTACCTTTCAACAGATAGTAGAAGAACTAAGAGACTGTATCCTTCAGTTACGCTTTCCTCACAGAGTACAGAGCAAAGAGGCAACTCCAAAAGTGAAGAGAAAGGCCCTTGGCAGCAATTCCCCATCAAAATCATCTTGTTTGCCTGTAGCCCAGCCACCCCTCTCAGACAGACCTTGCCTTATAGTACTACATAAACCTCTGGAGAAACTCCTTATCAGGTATTGTATATGGAGCATGTATGCATACATACATACATACACACAGAATGTTAATTCCCTGAGATAGCTTTAGCCGAGCTGGTGTTTTCCAGATGACTTGGGCTGTAGTTTTTGTCTTCCTTATCCAATGGACAATGGATGGCTGGGTGTAGTGGGAACATCTTGGAAGGTTGCCTCATTGGAAAAAGATGCTCTGGCACTGTGGTGCTTAACCTTCCATATCTGAAATTTCATAAATCATCAGCAAAGAAATTTGCTGATAGAAAAAGTCCTTTTTTTCTGAGAAACAGTATATAGTGTGGGTGTGCCTATAGGCATCCTGTTAATTAGGTAAATTTTAAAGACATTTAAAATTACAGTAGTACTATTTTTTTAAAGTTACTGTAACTGTAAAATAATGAGTGAAAGTCAAATGAAGGTGAAGCAGTATGCCACTGTGAGAACAGTTTTCTCCATGCTGCCCTCCCTGAATGCAGAGAGCATGAGCTTTTACTAGCACAGAACAATTTTATTGTATTTTGGCTCCAAGCCCAACATTTTCAGAAGGCACTCCATTCCTAGACTCATAAATGCATTGTGGTATTGCTGATTCCAGTTATCTCAGTATATGAGACTGGAGACTAGTTGGTTTATCCTCCTCCTCTGTTTTTTTCCTCTTATATGTTCTTTCCTGATTTGCTGGGGAATCACATCTCACTAGACTATACATGCCATTGGTTGTGAAACACTGATCTAAAGTTAGAACTGAAGTTACTAAAGTTTAGTCATTTTAGTTCTTTTCTTTTTTCATTTCTTGCACTTTTTTTTCCTCTCTTTTTTCTTCTTTCAATTTGTCTTTTATTGTATGGCAAATTTTTTAATAAATATAAATTTTTAAAAAGAGAAACACTGATATAGTATAGAATTTGGGAGGGAAAGCTCATACTTAAATAAAAGCTCAACAAGTCTTGCAAAATGTATAGCAGGATGAAGCACTCTCCAGAGTGAATTATTTGAATTATTCCCAGTATCTTCAGCCAGCGTGATGATGATGATGATGTATTGGTTTCCGGTCATGGGGCATAAATAGTACTATCTGTCCCTGACTGTTCTTGAATATTCTCCTCCTTTTTATTTTAAAGAGTACTTTAAAAAAAAGTACTTAACTTTCTGGGATTCAAGAATCAAAGGGAATATGCAGAGAAAACAAAATGTTCCTCTGTGCGTACTTGTACCCAGACAGGCATGCCATATGTGCAGGGAAATTTTGTACGCCGAAGACATTTTATGAATTCAGGGATATGTTAAGTGGTCTATTTGTAGTGCATACATAATCCTCTCAAATGATACCTTGAGAAACATTTGTGTGATGGAATTAAAGCCGAAATAAGGCACAGAGGTAGCTCACAAATCCTGCACAGGTAGTGTATTGAGGCCATTATGAGAATTCTAACTCCATTGTCACCCGTTGCCTCAATCCTTCTTCTTTCTCATTCTCAGATATGAGAAGCTGCCCTCCGACTATCATGTTCCATGTCTTTTACCCTTGGAGAATCCCCCCATGTCAGGTCCACTTACTATGGTGGCCAACCGCACAGCTTCTTCTACCCTGGCCTCCTTATCTCGCTATTTTTATCACCAGCGCTGGATTTGGTGCGTACAGTCAGGGCTGGTCCCGGCAGTGCCCATCACAGCTGTAGCACAACTGCTGTCCACTCTCACTGAGTAAGTGCCCATTTTGTCTTGAGATGAGTTGGAATCTGCAAATAGAGGAGTTGTAAAAGTGAAAAAGTAGCAGTTACATCTGAGTCACTTCTTTCTCTGAAGATCAGTTGCTTTTGCCAGTGTAAGAGTTAGGTTGGGGGAGGGGTTGCATTTTCACTGTGGGAAAAGAACATTGTGCTGAATGAACAAAGTATTCTAGCTCATGGGAGACCAGGATGCAGCAGCCTTATAACTTATTCTTCTCTTCTGGAATGTTCAGGATACGCCTGTCTGAGGGCTTCCATTTTGCTTCTAGTGGTGAAGGGATTATCAGTATGGTCCAAGAATTACCAATGAAGGTAAATCCTGTTTTATCTTCTCTGGTGCCACCCTTTCCTGTTCACAAGGAAATTGGTGATAACAGGGTGCATAGAAATATTGTGTGTGTGTCTTTGAGTCAGCATTGACTCCAGGTGACTGCCTGGATGAGTCCATGCAGTTTTCTTGGCAAGATTTTAGAAGTGGTTTGCCATTGCCTCCTTCCTAGGGCTGAGAGAGAGTGACTGGCCCAAGGTCACTCACCCAGCTGGATTTGTGCCTAAGGTAGGATTAAAACTCACAATCTCCTGGTTTCTAGCCTGATGTCTTAACCACTGCACACCAACCTGGTTCTTTTATAGAAATCTTAGGTCTTGGTATATCAAAAAGTATTCCTGTATTTCATTCTTTCCACAGTGGTATAACTATTGCCATAGTGGTTTGTTCTTTATATAGAAAATCTGGGACCCCCCCAAAAAATTATTTATTTATTTATTAATCACTCAGGTAGGAAAAGGATGGGGAGGGGGGAGTCTGTAGTAGCAAGTGAGTGTAGGGGAATACTGTGAAAGTGATATTCATAGATAATTGGCTAATAAGCATGCTCCTTGTTCTTTTCTCTGTAGTCTCTCATCCAAGAAAAAGCACATTAAATCATATTTTGAGAGAAATCTGCTCTTGGTTTGGCCAAGAAGATCGCAAATTGCACTGCTTCTCTTCTAGTCCTGAGACCCCAGTGTCCTGGGAGAGAAGCAGCAAAGGAACATGACAAATTTACAGCTGATTTTCTTCCACAGAGTGAATCCACAAGAGAGAGTGGCAATGAGAAGCACACCTGCATTGTCCAATATGTGATATTCCCTCCACATGCTACATCTACTAAAGACAGGTGAGGAAGGAATCCTGCCCCTATAAGGGAGCATGCGGGAATAGAGTCTTCTGGATCCTGTTGCTGCCATTATAAGAATGTGGATGCCTAGGAGGTAGTAACAGTACCGACCTTTGTTTTTGTCTACTGCAAAGGAGCCTTTGGTTCTAGTGCACACAAGTCTCTTTACCTCACTCCTGCCCGGAAGGATAACATTGGCTTAAAGATCCCACAGTTCTTGATTTGCTGTCTTCTTCATTAACTTAAGACAGTGCTGACTTACAGAAGTAATATTACCATATAAAAGTTATAATAAATACATAAATAATATCTAGGCGTTCAAATCATCCATTCTGAAACCAGTTAATGTCTATGAGTATATCATCAACTATAAACATGTGATAATGTTCACATCTTCATTTTTATTCTATTGATGAATAAAAAGCCTTCTGTTGCAAACTTGAGGTTCTGGTATTTACAGTTTCACTCACATTATTGTACCAAGTTCTGCTCGATTATTATGTGCCTTTCTGGAATTCCAGACTCTAGATAACCCCACTTCTCTCCAAAATGAGCACAAATGGATACCCATTTCTTTGGACCTATGGACTAACACTCCATAGGCCTCTTGAGCTAGAAGCAAGCCCTTGTGCAATCTTTGCCAGCAATGTGTACCTTTCACAGGGACCCACAGCTGTGCTTCTCCTGAACCTGAAATAAATAAAAATGCTAAAAAAAAAGGACATCATTGGATTCATATATACAAATGTTGATTGGCTTGCCTTATTTTGCTACATCGCTGCAGAGTGCTCTATGCTGAAATGGAATGCCATTCCACAAAATTAATTGTAAAAACATAATGGTGCAATAAAGAAATCTGTAGAAGTTTCACAGTGAATATGTAATGACTAATATATTTATCCTGGCATCAATAAATTAGCCAAGATCAACATTCCATTGCTTTTCTTTTGAGTTTACTGTTCTGTAAGTTTAAGCAACGTGATACGTACCCTAAGGCTGCTGAAGTTAATTTCTTTTAGTCTCAAGCTTGGAGGCAAGGAGGGTTGGAATTCTGCTGAAAAGCCAACTTACTTGCTGGTAAGCTGCTGTAATATGTTTCATATGTAAGGATGATTTGGATCTTCAGCTGTCCCAGAAAATACCTGTGTCAGGCCAGGAGAAAATGTGGGTGAGGCTAAAGCATACTAGATGTGTTTTTATATAACTTGGATTAAAGTAATTAAATATAGTTATTATGATTATTTCTTGTGTGTTTTATGCCATTTTCTCCCTCCTGTAGAATTAACATTGTTTAGCAACTTTTGGAAAAGCTTTTTTGACCCACACCCTGCTGTGAAGTCTCTCACATTACTTGCTTGCCTTCAAGTTTCTCTACAGATGAAGACAATGATACAGAAGTGGAGGCCATTGAGGTGGACATGGAGTTGAACGTTGTCACAGAATGCTGGGTAGAGCCTCAAAGTGGTTACGTGGATGGCGTTCAGGAGAGTTGGCAACACCTACATGGCCTATCTTACCAGAAAATCCCCAAAGCGGTGTGTTTTTGTGCTGGGGAGAAGCAACTCTTGCATGGGTGATCGATTGGAAGCTAATGTTTCTTGATCTGAAAGGGATTAAGACAGGGACTGCCACCTGTCTAGGGATGGCAGTGAAAGAATTGTCAAAGCAACCTAGGCAGCCAAATGTTTGGGGAGGTTTTGTCTCACTGAAGACTGAGACATGGCTTGTTTGTATAGTTGGCCCTGAATTATCCTTGTACCACTGTGTCAGTTTGAATGCATTTCTGAAGCAATAATCCTATTCTGGGTCCTTGTGAACTGGTGTCCAGTCTGCTATCTTATTTAAGATCCCTTTTCCAGATCTATCCTCGAGATCTTACCTGCATCCATACTGTGCTTGCTTTTGAGTATATCAGCCAACTTTGCCAAAATAAGGACTGGGTTTTCCCAGCATGCGATTCAAGGCCCATTGCTCCTGAAGGTAACTGATTTATTTAATGGTTTTTAGACATTCCTTCATGAATCTCATCCTGTGGACCTGTCAAGTTTATGACAGTTTACTTTTTTGCTGTAGGTCGTGATGCTCAAAGTGGCTCCCGTGTACATGAGATTCCTTTCCAGTTTGACCTCATGAAGCTTTTACCAAAATGCCAGCAGATTGAAATGTTTTTCTTGATGCTGACAAGAGGCAAGTTAAACTGGAGATTTTTGTGTGTATGTATATCAAGGGAAGGATATCAGCGCATTGTTTCTTCCCAACTCTGAAACATATAAAGCAATAATGAAGATGAGCATATCTGTAATGTGTGCCATCCTCTTTTGAACAGTCCCCACCCCACCATCATCTGGACTTAATAAGTAGAGCTTTCTATTCAAAGTATTCCTTGAGTAAACTTGACATTGGTGTCATAATGTGGTGTTGTGGTTGAACATGTAATAATGGTGGGAAGATCTCTACTAGTTAATACTCCTTACTGTATTATTTCTATTGTATGGGATTTTTTTTTTAACTGGGTAGGGAAATTTGACGCTGTTTGTCTATCTGGGCTATTAGATCTATATATAGTGAATTGCTGTGTTTTCCTAGCAGCAGGAGAAGGATTTACTCATAGTTTTTATCCTCTTGTAGAAGATGATGGAATCATAAAGGATTCTTCTTCCTTCCCCAATGAAATGCTTCTTGGCCTCTTCCATGGCTGTCTCCAGCATGACCTCAGTGATAGAGAAATCGCACTATTGGATACAGATCATGTAACCTTCATGGAGCATGTGCTTCAGCGAGACAGAGATGGCCACCCACCCCCATTTAAGCTCTCAGTGGTCCAAGGTAAGAGAGGCACAGTAGTTAATTTTTCCTTGGGCTGTTCCTCTGACAGTTTCTCACCCACTTGGTTCCTTCCAGAACTGCCAAAGGCTTCCATTCCTTCTGAATGTCAGAATCCAAAAAACAGTTACCACTCTTTTGGCATCAAGGACCCAGCAACATCTTCAAGTACACATCAGGTACAATGATCTTTTTGAGCTCAATGTCAAGATCCCAAATATGTCACAGATTTTCCAGACTTGAGTTTCCTAGCTATTGTAGGAAATAACTGAAATCTTTTGGAGGGTTTTGTTGAAGTAATCTAAAATGTGTTATGGTAGATAAGTGGATGGAAGAGTCTGACTTATGTGTAGAAGTCTTGGCATTTCTTTGATAGATGGCTTAACCTTCTCCAGCTGGCCCTCTTCAAGATAGATGCATTTCATTTATCAAGGCATTTTGGGGAGGTGATATCCCAGGTTGGGGAATGCTGTGTATTAGTTGAAAGTGATCCCTTGATCTTTTTCAATGTAGTATCTTAGTTTTCATAAGACGTTAACTGGGTTCACCTATCATGAAAAGCCTCAGGACACTGAACAAGGTTTTGTAGACCAGATTCATACTTCATGCATAATATTAAGTCATCTGTGATTTGCAAACTGTAGCATCTTAGTTCACATCATGTTAAACCAAAATGAGCCATTATAGCTTCATGTGATCTGTGAACTTAGTTATTATGTTTAGATCTAGCAGGGATGGGGGACCTGTGACCTTTGGATATTATTGTGCCACAGCTCCCAGCAGCCATAAGTAGAATGGCCAATTTGAGGCATGTTGGGATTTATAGTTCAGCAGCAGCTGGAGAGCCACAAGTTTCCCACTCATGGATGTTAAGGTCTACATGACCAAATGATGGGAGCAATTAACCTTTGATATCAAAATTGTCAGTATATTTTGCTTGCTTCATCAGGATGGAGAGCAAGACAGCCATATATGAAAGCTATGCCATAATCCAATTATTTTTCCTCTTTCAGACTCCAGATAATATCAAGGAGTCAAAAAATGATATTTCACCAACATCTGTTGCACTCTTTCCCCAATGGCGATGTTATGCCAAGCTGGTAAATCCACAGCATCTTTTCCTTACCTTCTTGCCAGCTGTGTTCTCAGGTAAAGGACTCTATATTCCCAAAAGGGAATGTAAACCTATCTAGGGAATGGAAGAGAAGTATAGCATTGGTTCTTCAATTATAAAGAGATGAGACCGGTATTTGCCTGTATGTTGCAGTGAATAACGTGAACAGAATTTAAGCTTGCAAGATCTACTTTGCTTTTTAATTAGAAGCCTAAAATGCTTCAGGATAAAGGATATTCTTTTTATTAAAGAATTTTGGGCTGTCATATCATATATAAACTGTGTTCATAGAATTCAGAAACAACAGTCCATTCCTGGTCTTCTCACTCCACCAAATTTTCTTCATTTCAGCAATGTAATTAGATGGGATAGAAGAAATTACAGGTAGTCCTCACTTACAACCATTCAGCGACCGTTCAAAATTATGACAGCACTGAAAAAATGGGCTTACGACCCATGCCCAAAGATACAGCTGTTGCAGTGCTCCCATGGTCACATGATCAAAATTTTGGCACCTGGCAGCCCAGCCACACTTATGGGTGCAGGGGTGCTGCAATTCCCCCCATCCACCTGTCTCCCCCCTTGCCCCAATCTATGCACTTTTGGCTGCCCTGCACAGCAGCACTCATTGGCAGCACTGGGGCTGGGACTGAAGTAGAGGCCCAAGGCCTTCAGCAGTCTCAGCCAGCTGCCACTGCCCCCAGGCCTCAACTTCAGCCCCAGCGCCACCGCTGCCACTGAGAAATGCCACCTCACACCCCACACCGCTGGCCTTTGCTGCCTCACACCATTCCCCAAGCACACCCCTCATTCCTTCCCTAAACCTGGAATCCCGTCGCCCCATTCCTTCCTGAAGCCACGTGTCCCATACCTTCTGCAAGCCACACCTCTCCTTCCTTTCATAAAGCAGGTGTCCCATTCTTGTGAACCTTCCCCCAGGTCTCGCACGAATGGGACACCAGGTTTATGGAAGGAAGGAGAGGTGTGGCCTCAGGATGGAATCGGCAATGGGATACCAGGTTTAGAGATGCAACGAGAGGTGTGGCTTGGGAAAAGGCAGCGAAGGCCAGTGGTGTGAGGCATGAGGCAACATTTCTCAGTGGTAGTGGTGGCACTGGGGCTGAAGTGGAGGCCTGGGGGCAGTGGCAGCCTCCTGAGACTCATTAAGGCTTCAGGCCCCAACTTCAGCCCCAGCCCCAGCACTGCCGCTGATGAGTGCCACTGTGTAAGGTGGCCCAAAAGGTATATATGGGGGGGAGAGATAGGCAGGTGGGAGGAGTTACACTGCCCCTGCAGTCATAAGCACCGCTGGGGTGCCTGAGGCTCCCAGGGGCAGCTGTGGCTTTGCACCACAGGGACCTGCACCAGGCCTCCCAGGGCCTCCCCCACCCCCTGAGGCATCCCCGCACTCCTTACCTGGGACTTCATCCACTTAACAACCCATGATTCTCACTTAATGACAGCAGCTAGGAATGCTGGGATTGCAGTTGCTAAGCAAAGTGGTCATGTAATAATTCACTTAATGACCGCATCGCTTAGCAACCTAAATTTTGGTTCCAATTGTGGTTGGATAGCGAGGATTACCTGTAAATAAATTGGGGGGAGCAATCTCTTTTTACCTAATTCAGATTACATATACGTAAGTGCTTGTGTGTGTGAGTATGCTATATATGTGTATATCTGCTGTCCAGCTGTGCTGTAGAATATGCGTGGTCTCAGTATTAAAAAAAAAAAAAAAAGAAAAACCAAGGTGTGTCAACCAAAGCTAATCCTGTACTTGTATAAATTATGCAAAATGTGTTACTGAATTTGCTTTCTCAGGTTTCACAATTTTCCTTTTCTTAGGGGAATGTTTGTGTTTTTTAAAGAAGAGTTTAATGTCTTCCCTTTTTAATCTACCCTCAGATTGTGTTCATATATGATATCTTGAGGAAGTTGCAATATAAATTGAACTACCGTATTTTTCCGACAATAAGATGCCCCCATGTACAAGACGACCCCCACTTTTCCACCCCAAAATTAAGAAATCAATATTTTAAAGATAGTGCAGAT